GTTGCTTGTCAAGTTCAACTGACTCAAATCAAGACAAATGTTTTTAGTTTAAGTCATTTTAATTTAGCTGGATTTTAGTTTTTGTTTTGTTTCTTCCCAGTGTAGGTCTGTTGTTGTATTTGGATCAGTCACTTTTACTTTGACAGTCCTCCCCCTCTGACCTCTGACCTCTGACACTTCACCGTTTGTTCTTTTAACTCATTAATAAAATGTTATAAAAGAGCAAAGGCCAAGTCCAGAAGCTCTGGAAAAAAGATCAGAAAAAGATCCAAACTAAAACTAAAAACTTCTGACCAGACCCGTGGTTCTGGTTCTAGAGCCGCAGTAACTTTAGAAACACAAACAGAGACACAAACAGAGACACAAACAGAGACACAAACAGAGACACAAACAGAGACACAAACACAGAGACACAAACAGAGACACAAACAGAGACACAAACAGAGACACAAACAGAGACACAACACAGAGACACAAACACAGAGACACAAACAGAGACACAAACAGAGACACAAACAGAGACACAAACAGAGACACAAACAGAGACACAAACAGAGACACAAACAGAGACACAAACACAGAGACACAAACACAGAGACACAAACAGAGACACAAACAGAGACACAAACAGAGACACAAACAGAGACACAAACAGAGACACAAACCCAAACCCCGCGCGGCTCCGTTTGTTTCTCACCTGCGCGTTTGTCCCGGACTCATCACAAACTCAACAACACAAACACGCGGAACAAAAGGAACTGTTCACAACTGTTTACTAATGACTCACGGCTCTCACGGCTCTCACGGCTCTCACGGCTCACCTCTCATCCACGCAGCCACCTGCTGCGGCGTCCACTGACTGACCGACTCCATCCTCCCGGCTCAGTGCGCGGACCCTCCGGCTCCTCTACGGCTCCTCTCCGGCTCCTCTCCACCGACTCTTTTCTGGCTCCTCTCCACCGACTTTTTTCTGGCTCCTCTCCACCGGCTCCTCTACGGCTCCTCTCCACCGACTCTTTTCTGGCTCCTCTACGGCTCCTCTCCACCGGCTCCTTTTCAGCTCCTTTTCAGCTCCTATCCGGCTCCTATCCACCGACTCCTCTCCACTGGCTCCCCTCCACCGGCTCTTCTCCGGCTCCTATCCACCGGCTCCTCTCCAGCGGCTCCTTTCCACCGGCTCTTCTCCGGCTCCTATCCACCGGCTCCTCTCCAGCGGCTCCTTTCCACCGGCTCTTCTCCGGCTCCTATCCACCGGCTCCTCTCCAGCGGCTCCTTTTCGTCTCTTCGCGGTCAGACGAGTCCACGGCAGCGGTAAATCCACGGGACAGAGAACACGGAGGGACCCGGGTGACTTGTAGGGACCCAGGTGACTCGGTGGGACCTGGGTGACTCGGTGGGACTCGGAGGGACCCGGGTGACTCGGCGGCGCAGTCGGAGCTGAAACTGAATCCTGGAGTTTGGCACGAGACTCCGGGGACGCGGGACGCACGGGAAGCGCGCGCGTCAGGGATCAGGTAACACGCGCCCCGGGACTGCGCCTCGGCCAATCAGGAGCCAGTATGCAAATGACATAGAGCCAATCAGGAGCCAGTATGCTAATGAGACAGATGAGAGTCAAAACAAAACAAACCCAACACCCTTATGTGACAGATAATACTCCCTACAACTGTACAACAACTCACCCTTATGTGACAGATAATACTCCCTACAACTGTATAACAACTCACCCTTATGTGACAGATAATACTCCCTACAACTGTACAACAACTCACCCTTATGTGACAGATAATACTCCCTACAACTGTATAACAACTCACCCTTATGTGACAGATAATACTCCCTACAACTGTACAACAACTCACCCTTATGTGACAGATAATACTCCCTACAACTGTACATCTCACTCTTATGTCACAGATAATACTCCCTACAACTGTACAATTCACTCTTATGTCACAGATAATACTCCCTACAACTGTATAACAACTCACCCTTATGTGACAGATAATACTCCCTACAACTGTACAACAACTCACCCTTATGTGACAGATAATACTCCCTACAACTGTACAATTCACTCTTATGTCACAGATAATACTCCCTACAACTGTATAACAACTCACCCTTATGTGACAGATAATACTCCCTACAACTGTACAACAACTCACCCTTATGTGACAGATAATACTCCCTACAACTGTACAATTCACTCTTATGTCACAGATAATACTCCCTACAACTGTATAACAACTCACCCTTATGTGACAGATAATACTCCCTACAACTGTACAACAACTCACCCTTATGTGACAGATAATACTCCCTACAACTGTACATCTGAATCTAAATCTGCTCACATTAAGGACTAAAAAATAAAAAAACAAAATGAAAAAAACATGCTTTTATTTTAGTCTTTTATTTTATTTATTTATTTATCTATTTATTGATTTTTGACTAGAAAGTGACAGACAGAAGCTTTAAATCAGTTTAAATTGTTTTTGATGAACAAGTCAGACTAAATAAATTAAATGCTGCTGCCCTCTAGTGACGGAGAAAGAGAACGATGCCACGAGCTAAAATCAACCAAAATATTTATTTATTTATTCATGTATTTATTTAATTATTTATTTATTTATTTATATTTATGTATTTATTTATTTTATTTTTTAATTTTTTTAATTCATGAAAGAAGAACTCAAAATAATTCAGTTTCATGCATCAATGTGCAATGAAAAAAACAAAAACAATATTGTGTAAGTTAAAATTACTTAAATTAAAAAACATTAGATTTTATTTGTGTAGATTCAACTTGACAAATTGTGGTTTTATTTATTTATTTATTCATTTATTTTATTTTTGAAACAGGGACAGCTCACTTTTCTTTTCTTTTTTTTTTACATTACAATTTTTACATTTAAATTTTGTTTCTATTTTAAGTGTAAAAAGTTGTTGTTTTTTTTCTTATTTTAAGTGCAGCCAGATGTATTTTCACATTTTACGCACAAACTGGCAAATCATTTTACTGTGAAATTTATTCAAATCATGATCAATTTTTAAAATTCAAGTCATCTGAACTTGACTAGTTTAGTTTTTTTTACTGAGTGAATGCAAAAATAATCGATTTGTAACATCTGCAAAGTAAAACATTTCTAACACTTCATTTATAAATGACTTATTTATGTGACAAACACAAATTTAAACACTTTATTAACACAAAAGGACAATTTATACTTCTTTTTTTTAGCACATCATGTTTGACGTTTCTTTTAAATACTTGAACAAATTTTGGAGCTTTGAGTTTTTCATTTAGACTTTTGCATAAACTCACAACTTTGACTGAAACAGTTTTTTTTGTTTTTTTTTTTTGTTGTTTTGAACCTGTTTTTTTTTTTTTTTTTTTTACAGATTTGTCAAAGAGTTTAAATCTCTGGGACTGACAGAGGTTGGAGCTCGGAGTAGAGCCGCTGCTCCTCCACGTGGAGAGGAGCGTCTGAGGGGAGGACGTCTGTTCTGACGTCTCCTGGACGTGTCCCTCAGGAGGTGTTCATGTCCCAGCGGGAGGAGGAGACCAGGACACACTGGAGGGACCATGTCTCTGGACTGGACTGGGAACACCTCAGGTCCCACTGGAGGAGCTGGAGGAAGTGTCTGGGGTGAAGGAAGTCTGGGAGTCTCTGTTCAGACTGATGCTCCGAGACCCGACCCCAGAGAAGAAGAAGAACATGAACCATGGCCCAAGGGGAAGTTCACACACACACACACACACACACAGACACACACACACACACACACAGACACACACACAGACACACACACACACACACACTCAGACACAGACACACACATACAGACACACACACAGACAGACACACACACACAGACACACACACACACACACACACAGACACACACACTCTCAGACACACACACACACACACACTCACACACAGACACACACACACACACACACACACACACACTCACACATACACACACTCTGACATCTGTCCAGGGACGACAAGGTTAAGGTAAAATGCAAAAATTGTCCCTGTCTCAAATAAATAAATAAATAAATAAATAAACACACACACTCAGACAAAGTGTGTCGCAGTCAGAGGTTCTACATTTTGGAACATTTTCCCTTTATCAAAGAGAAACTCCAACACTGAACACTTCACATCCCACGGAAAGAAAAACAAACTCGTGACACTTTTAGTCTAGAACCGTCACTTGTTGAAGCGTCGCTTGTTGAAGCGTCGCTTGTTGAAGCGTCGCTTGTTGAAGCGTCGCTTGTTGAACCGTCGCTTGTTGAATCGTCGCTTGTTGAACCGTCGCTTGTTGAACCGTCGCTTGTTGAATCGTCGCTTGAACAAGTGAAGTTGTTGTTAAATTTGTGGTGTTTCCTGTCGAGGAACAGATGGAAATGAACATTTTTTCCTTAATCTGTATCTTTTTTCACTGGCTTTTAATAAGTGACATGTATATTTCTTGTCGAGTATTTTACAGTTGTTTATGTTTTTAGTAGTTGTATTGTATGTGTATCATATATTTTCTTCTATTGTCTGTCCTGTGTTTGTGTACAGCACTTGGCATACTGTAAAGTTTTTAAAGTGCTTTATAAATAAAGTTGGTATGGTACGGTATGGTAATCTGTCACATTTACTCTGCAGTGTTGTAGATGTTCATTAATCTGCTCTGTCCCGATTATATAAATAAATAAATAAATAAGATCATGACTTTCTGTGATTTTCTTTGGATCTGCAGATTTGTTTTCTACGTCATTGTGTAAATATAAAGTTCTACCGGTTCATTGAATCTTTAATCGTATAAATCTTGTGTGTTTTAAAGTGAATGACGTAATAAATGTGTTTCATGTTTGTGTTCGTCGGAGCCTCGTGTCCGGAGCATAAGCCGGATGTAAACACGTAATGACGTTGATCCGTGCCGTGCCGTGCGTAAATCCATATCGCAGTAATCCCGCTCGTGCGCTCCGCTGCGGT